CCTGGGACTACTGGCAAGGCCCTGCTGATGATGCAGCACCTGTGGCTGGGAAAAGCTGAGGCCTGGGCATCGTGTCCTGCTGAGGAGGCTTCAGGAATGTTACCCTGAATTTTCTCACTCTCTTGAGCTTTAAAACCTGCACTTTTCCATGGTTGAAAAGTTAATATTTTAAGGATATATGTGATATGTGAGAATCCCTTGGAAGTGATGTGTTACGTTCCCCAAACTATTTAACTTATTTTGTCAACCATGAAAGTGAAATGGCTTTTCCTCGTTGAAAATGTAATAATAAGTGCTTTATTTATGAAAATAATATCTGCAAATAATTTAATTTGGAGAGCTGTCTTACGCTTCCTTCAAATAGATTTATCTATTAGCTTTTGTCATCATGATAATTTAAAAAAAGGCAAACATAAGTCAAAGACTAGAAAAAGTCACTGAGATAGTCGGTCCATAGTGTAGATTTTGGGTTTGTTTCACAGGAAAATGTTTTCCTTCTTGAGCCAGCCATTTATATGCTAAGGAAAGTCCAATTAAGATGACTGAATTGTAAGTGTCACAAAATAGAGACGGCAAAGGACATTTAATTATAGCAGTGCTGCCAGGCACCAATATAACAAAAGAAAAAATGTGCACCTACAACAAAAGTGCTGCCTAATACATTTGGTGTAATAAAGAGACAATATATGGTCTAAACATACACTTCTAAACAGTTCAAAAAGCTGTATCTTCTGATTTTCATGAAGCTGTTTTCCAATTATGAACATAGTTTAAGAAGAAGTAATATTTTTTTTAATATTGAGACCTTCAACTTTGTTCACAGGTTGAAGAAAAAGCATCATGCATTAAGACAAAAATGTTGCCTAAGAAAATGGATTCGTGACCCAGAAGAATGTATAATTGATGCGTGTGGTTGTCTGGATGGTAGAATAACAATAGCAACCATTAGAGATGAGAGCTGGAACTAGTCAGGCAGTGAGGCAGGATGTATTTTATAGGTCATCTGGGCTCCATTCAGATCTACAGGTTGCTATTCCTTCTCCATACTTGAAAGCATTTAATGGATTATTATAAAAGGAAAAGGATGGTATGCAATAATGGTTTAAATTGAAGCTCTGTCTATATGTCACCACTGTGTGACTTCTAAATGAATGCTTCATTTTTAAAATTTTCCCATGGCTTACTTGAAAGTTTGCCAGAGCATCACAGAATTAAAACAATGAATTGACCAGCAGCAAGAGTAAAGGACACTGAAAAGTACAGTAGAAACAGTTTTACATGGCATGGAAAAGAATAAATAAGAAAAATTCACCAAGAAATATTTTTCCAAAGCTGTTGTCTATTCTCTTCAAGGCAGATTGAACTAATTTTATTCTGCTTTGTTTCATAATATTAAATTAAGAAAAAAGAAAACTTTGAAAAGAAGCTTAACTGTCAAACAATCAAAGCCAAGAGCATGTAATACTGAAGTCAAATTCAGAATCCCTGCTTGCCTGGAAAATGCTTCTTTCATATCAAAATTGATACAAGTTAAAGGGTGGAGGATCTTTTCTGCTTTGTTTCACATGAACATAAAAGTTTTATTCCTGCTTTTAATGGGTAGTATTTTACAAATGTAATGGAACATAATTTTACCAGGTTTCCCTAAGGGAAAGTCATGGCATGATTACACAGGCAGTCCCATCTCATTTAGTATAATGCTTACAATATACATGCAAATATACTTAGGCAACTCAAGTTAGAGGTAGATTGAATGGCATTCAGATAATCATAGAGAAGTGTAGATGCTGAAGAAAGTTTTGCAGGAGAAATATGCGTTGAATGACTGGTCCCTTGCAGCCACACATGCCCTTACATAGTGTGAACTCTGTGATGCAGAAGATAGAAGCCATGCCAGACATGTACATTGGGCAGTCCAGGCTGGACATCCTAGTTCGGCCCCATTGATAGCATATCCCAGCAGTGAGAGAGATGGATCGAGGGGATGGGAACCCTTGTGGCTTGCAGTGTCCCCAGCAGCAGGTACAGCCTGGAGGAGGAGGCATCCCCTTACAGGCAGAGCTCCTGCACTGCCCCTTGGGATAACTGGCTACAGGGTGGTGGTATGCAAAATGGGCTCTGTGGGCATGGAAGGAGGCTCAAGCCAGGTCAGACAGAGGTGCACGGTGACAGATCTGTGAGTTTCAGGTGACAGAGTTTGTTCTCCAAACTCCTTCCACAGGAAATTTTTCAGCTAGGGGTTAAATAGGTCTGTAAGTTATAGATAATGAAGTAATGATTTAACACAATGCAATGCAAACTGCAGTTCCAGCACATTGGATGTAGAAAGCAAGTAAAAATCTGTGTTATAAGCTGGTATGAAAGGTCTTACATTTGTGGGAGTTGTGGGGTTTCTCTTTCTGGAGTGGCTTGTGCATCGATGAAGGAGAGGCCTGTAAGAAGAATAAACTGCACCTTCTATTTTCTTGTAGGGGATGATTGTGCAATTTTAAAACATTCTACTTGCACATGTGAGCGTAGCACATTCCCTAGTTCATAAACAATACATAGGGCTTTTGGTTCCAGTTTAATTCTTTTTGCTGAATTCATGTCAGACTCTCTTCTCAGATCTGGTTCTCGTTAAACTGAATGTAGATCAGTCTACCATGGCAGAGATCAGAGAAACTATCCAAATATTCATTGGTGAAGTCATGTAAAAGTTTAGTCTATGTGAATCTAGTTTTGACGCTGGTTATTTGGAGATGCATGAAGAAGGCAATCATAACCCGCCTGGAGCCAAGGCAACAGCAGCTTCTAGCTGTTTCCTGCGGGACCACTGGCAGCAGAAGTGCCACCTCTGCACCAGGCGCTCAGAGCTGCTGCTGTAGCTGACATCTGGATTGCAGGTGTGAGGCCAGCAGTAGGCCTGGCAGCTACTGCCCTATTTGTGTAGGCAACCTGTCTTGTTTGTTTTGGGAAGGTCGAGGAATAACAAAGAAATAATAAAAACTGAAGTACAGAACCTCAACATCTGTTTACGTTAGATTTCTTTTAAACTTTCCTACTGTCAATCTTAGTAGTTCAGATCTGCAGGGAACAGCAATAGATAGATTAGCACAAAATATGCATTACAGATATATGGCTATGTCTGCTGTGGAGAGAACTGGATAAAGGCAATACTTAAAATACATATTGCTTTTTTTTTTTCCTTTTTTTTGTATGGTATTTAGTGCTCTCTGTTCCCTGACACATTTGAAGCCAGAGTACTTTTTAGTGATGAGCGTGAATATTTGTTTAACATATCTTTGCTTTATTTTCTTCACATTTCTATTTGGCACGTCTCAATTACCTGCCAATACTCAGTAATGTGAATTGTATCGGTTTCCTTTTAGTCAAGTGTAAAATTTATCATTGGGATAAACTAACACCTGAGTCAGTATCAGATCGAGAAAGTGTTTGCTCTTCCTTGCTTATTAGTTAGCATTTAATCTGTGAGCTTGGGATGGGTAAATTTCAGAGTGCATCTTATTTAACCTCTAAAAATGTATCCTCTGTTCAGTAGAGAAGGGGTACCCCAGCGCTGTGCCTGCCCAGCTCAGGCTTCTAGGGGACATAGTTGCCAGATGCTTTCTATCACAACCTTGTCCCATGAGCCTGCCTTGTTTTTCTGTCTTTTCTTGTCTAAGGAGATGTTTTAAGATGGGATGTAACACTGAATTCAAGTTTCGTTTCTTTCTTTGCTTTTCAAGATTAGCAACAGCTTAGTATGAGTGCTGAAGTCTGTGATCCTGTTGGGTGTCCCAGGCTCTGAGCCTGCTGCTGTCATTTTCCTCTGTAATACAAAGGGATGGCTCTGTTTCTGCTATTTGAAAAATAGCTTTAGCTGTTTTTTCAAGACATTTCTAAACCAAGTAAATTGGTAATGTGGTTCAATATCAGCCAGAAAAACAGGAGGGGAGATTTTTGTTTAACCAAGGCTTGTTCCAATTGCAGAAAAATTCAGACAAATGAAGGAAACGTGAAGTAAGTGGACCAAACCTAGACTGCTTGAAGCTCCTCTGTGGATGATCTAATTCAGAAGGAAAATGGTCTTAGTTCATGGTAGCTTAATTCTTTTTTACAGTAAAGTCAGACCACTATTCTTTACTTAAGAATATCCATGCAGGAATTTAATGCATTTTAACTTACGTGCATTATCATCGTGGGTTTAGTTGATTTATCTTAACTTTCCTGAATGATCTTCTATATAAAAACCCCTAGACATAGATATATGGTATGAGCCTTGTTTAAAACATAGTCATGTAGCCGTGCCCTTAATCTGATATGGGTTTTATGTAACTATGTTAAGAGATAGCTGAGAACTGCTTTGTAAGTTGTTCACATACATCCTGATCCCACAGGGTAAAAAAAGTTAATTCTTTATTTGTGACTGCACTGCCCAGAAATGTTTGGAAAGGCTCAGTATAAGTGCTTGGCATCTGCTTGTGTGCTGGGGGCTGCAACGCTGTCGTGGTTTAGCCCAGCCGGCGACAAAGAACCAAGTGGCCATTCTCTCACTCCTCCTCCTGCCGGTGGGATGAAGAGGAGAATCAGAAGAAAAAGGCAAAACTTGTGGGTTGGATAAAGACAGTTTAACAGAACAGCAAAGGGAAGAAGAAAAATAACAGTGATAAATGAATATACAGAAACAATTAATGTACAACTGCTCACTGACTGGAACCTGAAATACGCAGCCCATTCCCAAGCAGTGATTCCTCCCTCCCCAGCCAGCTCCCCCTTTTGGGTAGTTTGGGTCAGCTGCTCCAGCTGTGTCCTGTCCCAGCTTCTTGTGAAAGTCAATCCTATCCCAGCTGGAAAAAAGACAAAAGCCAGCAACTCTTCACATACAATTGCAAATTCTAGAATTTTGAGGCTGAGGCTCAACAAAAGAATTTTTGTCATGACTCTTATTTCAGTCTATCCTCTGTGCTTTTTTGCAGGCCAAAGATAAAATGATACTAATCACTTCGAAGGAACTTTGCCAACACGGTTATAATATCAGCAGAATGCTGGCAACATCTCTCAACGTCAGTGGAGAGCTTCGATCCATACATGATGGGAAGGAAGGGAAGAGGAAACACTGACTAGATCTTTTTCCAGCCTGTCTTTGAAACAGTTTTCTTGGAGGGAATGACATTTTTAATGCCAGACAAATGGTATTGACCAACAGGACAAGAGAGTGATGGAGACATGATGTCAGCAGAAACCAAGATTATGGGAGTCTACTTCTGAACAGATTAGAGTAGCACTGGCCACCAGGGGTGTCCCATGGCAATAAGAATCCTTGTTGCTGCTCAGCTGATTCAACTGGCCACCAAGACAAAAGAAATGGAAGGTGTCATCAGCATGATGCTTGCCTCCTGAATTGTAAGTACCAGCTGTCTCAGGACACCATTGATAGCTTTGTGAAGCTGCTGTGATCAGGAAGCTGCGCAGCCATTTATTGCTCTTCCATAACAAGTCTTAGCGTTCACCAAAAGAAGGCGGTGTTATGCTTGGATGATATTAATTGCTCCATGGGCTGTTGGTGTGGGATGCTCCAGAAAGGCTGAGAACAGTAGGTTTTTCCTCTGTGGCTAAAAAAATTCCTTACTAGAAAGCTGGGAAGGAGGATGCTGATATTCAGAAACATAGTGGGTACATGAGAAATGTTGAAGTGGCTGCTATTTTCCTGGTTGCTGTTTCCAGCAGAGGGTAACACGGGCTGTGTAGGTAGTATTGAAAGATTTACACTGCTATGTAACTGCTACTGCTACAGCACATTGCCTTTTATCTAAGTTGCTCTTGTCGTCACACAACAGGAGGTGCAGCAAGCGCTAGGAGCAGATTTCCCCGGTACACCACAAGAGAAGTAGGGAATTCTTTGCAGATTATTTAAACCTTTCTTTCTTGTTTCTGCAGCCTTGTTTGAGCAGCTTACTTCATAGTGACTTTGGCCTGAAGCTGAGGACACTAATAAAGCTGTTATATAAAAGCATTATTGGTATTTGAGGAATTAAGCCTGTATTTGAGGAGCTAAAGTTCGCCCTGTCTTACATTATTTTTTATTTTACCAGTGTTTGTGTACCATGCCTCTTTGAGTTAATGCATAACAACTCAAGTCTGCTAAAAGTGTATGGCATTAATGAAACTGTGAGCCACATAAAAGACTAAATTGCTTTTTCTCTTTCTGTAATTGCCACTACAATAAAAGCTGCCTTTACTGTAAAATTTTTCAGGGTTAACCCCTGCAGAGATCCCAGCTTGATGAGGGAGAAGTGTGATTAGAGGTGTGTAGAAGGTGGAGAACAGCTGACTAATAGTAATTAGGGGTGCTCAAAGGCTGTAGGCAGCAGAGGGCAAAAGTTGCAACTGTGCTCCCCAGTTGCCAGATGAATTGCAGTGTAATGAGTCAGGGTCAGCTGTGGTCCCTCAGTAGAACAGCTTTGCGAACCCAGCCCTGCTTGCAATTCTGCTGAACATGGAAGAGAGTGTCAGGAAGGGAGTGGAGGGGACAGTTTTGGCTGCAAGTCAGGAGAAAAAGGGAATTGAGGTTTTATATTCTCTATGGCTGCTCTTTTGAACAATAGCATAAATATCTTGGAGTGAGAGGGCAGATGGGGCAGTCTGCTTATGCACGTGTGGGCAGAGGTTTCAGCCAGTAGTACAAAGGAAGGATGTGGTAGATGTGCAGTGTTTCCTATGGGATAGGTATGTCTCCAGCCCAGTAATTATGCCATCCCTATATTAATCCTAAATATAAACAAATCTCCTTTTACAGAAACATCAGCGACGTGTGCTTAAGTATTAGATAATTCACCACATACCAAATGTTGGTAATGTAATACATTGCTGAAAGTTAAAAAGAGCATCTACCAAAGGCATACAGGCATTGAATTGGTTTTACAAATCTACTTTTGTTTTTAAAATGGAATAAAAATGCTATATCATTATGATCTGAGGGACTGTCTTTGCTAGAGAGATTGAACATATTCTTTGCAGAATTCACAGTCAAACAAGGCAAATGCAAACAAACTCTGGTGATGAGTGCTTGCCCTGCTTTCAGGATCCTATATGATTTGTTCTGTTTCATTGTTTGTTTTTTTCTTTTCTTTCTATTAGAACAGAAAATAATTTTGAGAGCATGGAAAATAGTAGATTTTTTAAAAAGTCTTAAATACCATTTCATCAGGAAAAAGGTTTAGAATAAGTAACCTGCCGTGTTAGAAAAGGTTGCTAATTATCTGAATTTCATTGTGGTTTAATTAGCAGCATCTACAGTAGAACGTGGGAGGTGGTTCTTATCACCTGCCAAGGAAAAAGTTGTCTTTCGAAGGAGGGTAAATGATGCCAACCAAAATGCAGACTGATTTTAGATCTTCAATAACATTCTCTTTCAAGTCTTTTGATGGGCAGAGGTGATTGGTCCTTAAGCAATTAAGAGAGCGGAGAAGAGTGGTACTAGTGCCCTGACAATCTTCAGCCCAAAGCCTGGCAGGTCTGAGAGCCGCCAGCAGCCTCGGTGCTTGCTGTGAAAGGAGATGGCTCTCACTGAAAGGGGCTTTCAGGGTGCAGGTGGATGGGGCACATTGCACTCAGCAAGTCCTTACAATTAGATGAGAAATTAAAACAAGTGGGAGTGTCAGTTCAGCTGTATCAGACTAATAGTTTGCTATCTGTGAATCAGCATGTTAGCAGAGGCAAAATATATCTGGTAATGAATCAGTTGCATGTTAGCAGAGGCAAAATATATCTGGTAAAGTGTGCTCTGTCTTGATGCTATGTTTTCTTTGTTGTTCCTGTTAGCTGTTCTAATAAATGCAGTCTGTAATTCTCTTTGAATGTATCTTATAGCTAAGGGAGTTGGGTATAGGTAGTGGTCATCCGTTATGAACAGCTCTACCCATAGCAGCTGAATGCACAGAAACGCTGCAATCACCTTAATGAGGTGACAGGTCTGAGGTGGAAGTTGTTGGGGTTAGTGGAAAGGTGGCATTTAGTGTCCACTGGATCAAACAACACAAGGTTGAATCCTTACCTTAGTTAGACTTGGTAAAGTTTCTGTAATCCAAGGTACTAGTTTCCTTGCCTGCTCTATGTGTTTCCAAACATTTTTATTCTTCCTCCAGAGGCTGAGATGTAGAAAGCTGATAGCCAGGGTAGGCGCAGTCTACGGCGAATCATAGTAGTTCGTATTTTAGCAATTATTTCATGTTCACAAAGGTGTTCTGGGCTCTTTCTGTTTAGAAATGGCAAGGGGTGCACTTAATGTATTTCTGCTGGAAGAGAGTAAAATGGGGCATTCATCTTCCATAAACAGGACTACAGACTAAAAGATGTTTTGGACTTCTGGTGTCCATAATGATTTTGAATGTATTAGGCAAAGCAGAAAACACTAAAAAGCTAGTCTACAGATCATAAATTATTTTTCACTGATTCATTCTGTACATGCTAACCCCCCCTACCCCCCCCAAAAGCTTTCTCTTAATTATTTTGATATTTTTGTAATAAGCACACCATTTTAATTTATGTAGTGGTTTTGCATAGTCATCTTGTAGTCCAGTTTACTTTTCCATGGCATGGCCATCCTGCACATAGGTATTAGTACTGTGTTAGGTTTTGCACCAGATGGGTCTTTGGAATTAGAGTGAGACAGGCTCAACGAGCCCTATACACCCAAATTAATTCCTTCAGGCAATCAAGGAGGTACAGAAACACCATTATCACAAGATGAAGATTTTCATTTCAAAAAAACTGTTTAATCTGACATTCTGATTTTCAAAGCAGATTTAGAAAGCAAATTGAAGAGAAAACCTGCAAATGAAAATTCCTCATTCTAGGAGATACTAAAGAGCAGGGACCCAACAGTGACAGGCTGGTTTATGACATTTTGTAATTTTTCATTCTCCTCTTGCTAACTTTTCACTCATGTCCAACTGTCTTTGTTTCTGCCATTTCTGTCCCATGGGAGTGAGTGACCTTTGCATGGCTCCCCATGCTGGGGCCACTTGCTGTTCCAGAGGTGCTAGCTGTCCTTTCGTCTCATGTCATATAATTGATATTAGAACAACTTGATCCCAGAGTATATCTTCCCAACATGCTTCTACTGCACTTTGCAACCTCTGTTTCAGGCCTAAAGAATGGCTTATTTTCTTGTGTATTTTTTCCCCAATTCTAATAGTTTGTCTCATAAAAGGTATTACCTCTCCCCATAAACCTTATCTCCCTAGTCTGCGTATGTGTTCCTTGGGGGCAGCAAGCAAGAAAACAGCCTCCTCAAGCCTGGAGTTTCCTTGTAGGAGCAAACTGTAAACATTGAATTATAGATTTAATCATCAAATTACTTCTCTGACCCCTTTCCACCCACTTTGAGTATGCATTGGACTTGAGAATGGAAGCAGAAAAATTCCCAAGATTTTCCAGTGTGTTGCTAGTTCAGATGACCCTGTCCTGCCTGAACATCAAGAAGTCCCATCAGGGAAGGACTTGAGAACTTTGGCCATATTTTAAGAGGGGCATAGCAGTCTTGTATGGAGGCAGGAACCGCAACGCCAGCTGGGGCAGGAGTCCCATTGTGGCTGTGCCAGCTATGCCCCAGAGAGGCCACAGGCATATGGGGGGACAGAGACAGTTCATGCAGTGCTGACCCAGCCCTTACCCTAGTGTGTCACCTGAAGGTGGACAGGAGCAGAGAGGATTAGGGCAGGGCCGTGGCCATGGATGCCCCCAAGGTTGCAATTTATGAGAAGTGTGGCTTTGCCTTTATACATGTTTTTGCATTTTCATTTATTGCGGGGCACAGGGCACCCACCATACCTGTGTTTGTGGGCATGATTTGCTCATGGGAAGTTGACTGTGGTGTCATTTGTACAGCTTTTGGCCTTTGGGTGGAAATACTTGTGGAGGTTTTCCCCTTGACTATTTCTAGCTAGTCAGCCTTGCCAGGTGAAAAATCTCTAAAATGTTTCTTAAACTAGACAATAAAATATGATGCAGCAAACCAAAACAGTGGGTCTGACCACATACTAGGGCAACCTTCTAGGTCATTCAAAGCAGTCAGACCTTATCATACTGAAACTGATGATTTGGAAAGTGGTTAAAGCATCCATATTTTTTGGAAGTGGCTTCATCAACTGGTTGCTTTTTTCTTCTGACAAGAGATTGATGTAAGAGATTGGAAAAGTTTATGACTCATGGAGATACTTGCTTCACTCACTTGTAATTTCTAGTGCAAATGAATAAGTCAGCCTGCACTCAGCTGAGGAAGAAACGGCAGTGTACAAAGTAAGTAGAGCAGATTAATTAAACTGGCCGTTCTTGTTAACTCTTTTTGGTCATATAAAAGCTAGTAACAATGCATGAGATTGCAGTCAAGACAAAAGGATATA